CTTAGCTGACCTCGAGGCCCCTGAGATAATCGAGCTCGAGGCTCCTATCGCTCTAAACAATACTGGTTTGGTTCATCAATTCTTCTTACTTAAGCGTAGCATTACTTGTATATAAACTAGTATTGGAATAAATCACATATCTTTAAACCCACACAAATCACATTTAATTGTTACTCACATTTTTCAAGGTAAACATTGATAAATAGCACATAGATATTGTTATTATTCACAATACTTGAAATCAAGTACAACATTTGTTAAGCAATTATTCTATTTTAATTATTTATTTATTTTTTCCGACTCAAATAATTATTGTTACAACCTCGAGATAAGTCCCCTTGGGTATGCAGTGTATAGTATTGCCTTCGAGGTAGGATTACGATAATAGAAAAAGGATTTAAATTGACACTAGAAAGAATATTTTTTTTAGGCGAAATACATAGAATACCACCTGACCTTGTTCCCAAATCTTTGTTACACACCTGTTGATTACGAGAATAACTTTACACATCCAATCTTTAAAAAATATACCTATGACACACTATTTTGATTACGTGGCAAGCGCGTATTTTACACGCAAATGAGGCACGTGAACTGTAAATTTTTTGTATCTAAAGCCTCACTTGGACGTCACATGTCCAGTTTTTTCACTTTTTCATTTTTTTCAGTTTTAGTCATCTTCTTCATTTTTATGAATCAAGTTTCAGCCAGTTCCTCCATTGATGCTTATAAAGAACACTTCTAATAACTTCAACAGCTCCTCCTCTAACTCATGAACCTGAATCTCACCTCAAATCCATTATAAAGTATTTTTTTTCTCAAATATTGCCCTTCAACCTTGCTTCAACCCCAGCCTGCTGCAATCCTAGACCCCTTACCCTTCTTCCGCACCTATCTCTGGCCTTTGCTTCTTTTTTGGTGGGGGGTTTTGTTTTTCCAACATAAAATCGTCTTGAGATTTTTTATTTTCACCCGTTCTCATCCGCGTTGTTTCTACAAATTGCGCAACACCTAAAAATTGATTATTTGAAATTGTTGTTGTTTGTTGAAATTGGTGTTTGGGGATTGAATTAGTTGTATATTAAAAGCTCCATTTCAATTGAAACTCATTTAGAGATGAACTAAGTAGTTGGATCGAAATTTGTTTAAGAAGGCCGAGGAAGAGTACTTTGAATTTTTGAGTTGGGTTAAACTTGAAGAAATCTAAGGTTGATGTTGAAAACTTTGGTTGTTGATTTATATTCATGTTCTCTGATCTTGAAACTGAGATGAAGGTTGTAGCAGCCATGGTGGATGGTTTTCATCGAGGAAGAAGATGTATTTCTTTTTCTTTTTTCTTTTAACTTCATGACATGTGTCACGATTTAATTGGTGCATGACATATACCTATTTAAAAGAAGTGGTCAAATACAAAAGTAATGTGTCATAAACACATTTTTGAAAGATTAAGTGTATAAAATTATTCACGTAGTCTACAGATATGTAATAGGGATTTGGGGACAAGTTCAGATGGTAATCTATGTATTTCGCCTTTTTCTTACTATAAATATAATAACACATTTATAACGTATCGGGTGGTGCTCATGCAGAGTATTCTTCGGTGTTGGTTTTTTTCAGTGACTTTATTCCCATGTTTGAGATATAAGGAGCAAACGATTCAATAATTCTTTGCAATTTAAATAAGAGAAAATTATTCTGTAAAATGGGTGACAATTATGTGTGTTTTTACTGTATAAAAATTAAATCAATTTGAACAAGTTACAGGCCAATGAATACATATAGAGAGAGAACTATGTTGTTCTGTATTATAACTGGAAACTTTTTATTCATTAATTCTGATTTATGAACTATTATTAGTTGAGGTAAAATAGGGGTTTTTGGCGTCGTGAATGCTAATCATTAAGGCCATCTCCAACCCTTGTTTTTATTTTCTGCTCCAAAATGGAGTACTCCAAAATGGAATAAAGTTACTCTAACTATTACTCCATTTTTTACTCCAAAAAAGAATCTTCTATTTTATATTCTTCTTTCTCTTCAATATTATATTATTATCTTTTATTTAAATTTGATTTTCTTATAGATTATATATATTAACGGATAATTCAAATAAAAGTGAAATCATTGAGATATAAGATAACTAAATACATATTACATTATGATAAAATTCAGATTAAATATTACATACATATTCAACTTCCACCTCTAGTATGCTCCTATAAATGATCTATTAATTTAATGTATTTCAATTTTAGTGTATTTTCATTTAATATATTTTCAATTTTCACTTTTTAATTTTAGCAACATCTAATATTTTCTATTCACACCTTTCAATTTTAGAAACATCTAATATTTTATATTTGCACCATTCATTTTTTGAGATGATTATATATTTTTTGTACAATTATAGCTTATACTAAAATTAACTTACAATTTTACATAAAAATAATAAATGCACGAAAATTAATTTATCAAAATTATACGCCAAAGTTAAGATGTAAAATTAATATTATAAAGATATTACATAAACATAATTAGGTGTATTTAAAGAGATTCAAATATCTGGACTGCAAGCAAATCCGAGGAAAAACTCAGTGTATTTTGGGGGAGTCCCTCAGAATGTAAGAGTGGAGATCCTGCAACAGTTAGGCTACACAGTGGGAGAATTGCCATTCAAATACCTTAGTATCCTACTTGCTACCAGGAAGCTCTCATTGATACAATGACATCCTTTGGTAGAGAAGATAGTTGCAAAGATTTCTTCCTGGACAGCAAAGAAATTATCATATGTTGGTCGAGTGCAGCTTGTTCAAACTGTGCTCTTTGGTATTCAATCTTATTGGTCGCAGTTGTTTACTCTGCCTTCAAAGGTCTTGAAAATGATTGACTCATACTGTAGAAGCTACATCTGGTCTGGGTTAAATGTGATTACAAAAAAGGCTTTGGTAGCCTGGGACATAATGTGTACACCTAAATCAAGCGGGGGCCTAAACTTGATTAATTAGCATCTATGGAACAAGGCTGCTTTAGCAAAGATATGTTGGGATGTAACACACAAGCAAGATCGACTATGGATAAGATGGATCTATGCTTTCTACATCAAAGACAGACTGTTTGAAGAGGTGGCAATTCCCCAACAAGCAAGTTGGATGGTGAGACAGATCCTAAATGCTAGAACAACTCTTCAACAGGTGCAACACCAGCAACATCAAAGAAAGAGTATGATCAGTAGTTTCTACTTACAGTTGCTGGGAGATAGACCAAGAGTGTACTAGAAATGCTTGATGTTCCAAAACAATGCCAGGTCAAAAGCTATATTTACCATATGGTTGCAACTACATGGGAGATTGTTGACTGCAAATAGGCTGATACAATGGGGATTAGTTGTAAATCCAAAGTGCTCCTTATGCCAAGCTCACGATGAGAACAAGGAACACTTGTTTGTTAACTGTCGATTTACAAAGGAATTGCGGCACAGAATCTTACATTAGATGTAAAGGCAGGATGTTGCGAGAGAGAACTAGAAACAACATATGCAATATGTGATACATTGTGCTAAGGGTAGGACACACCAAGCTCAACTCTACCAGATGATATATGCTGAGATAACTCACTGCATTTGGATTAAAAGGAACTTGCGGCTGTTTGAAATGAGAAGCAGAGGAGTTGATAGTATTGCACGAGAGGTAGCCTACATATGTAACGTGAGAGCCATTACTGGGATTAGTAGCATGGTACAATATTTTATGTTTTAACAGAGACAGTTAGTATAGGCTTTTGAATTTGTAAAAGTTATAGCTGCTGAGGTATAAGCAGGCTATAGTTACGTAAAGTTACTGGTGATTAATAAAATTGTTAGTTAATAAAAACAGATAAATTAAAAGAATTAAATAATAAAAATAATAATAAAGTAAGGATTAATAATAATAAATGAGATGAATAACACTATTCATTTCTCATTTTGTAGCTAAAAATGGGGCAGCACTGGAACCACATTTGACAAAAATTGACTGCATTTTGGAGTAATGAGGGAGCGTTAATATAATTGCTATCATATTTGGGGTGGATATTTAACATGCTCTTTTCTTTTCTTCAATAAAAAAAAAGTAAATTTTTTTTACACCTTTAATAAAGTAAAAGTAAGTTTTTATTTGGGAACTGGGATGTTAGTTGTCAGACAAGAGGGTTGCCGTGATGGTAAGAGAGTTCGAGTCTCCCATAAGGTGAGAAGTTCTTGGAAGTAAGGATGTCGGTGGGTCTATTTGGAAACAGTCTCTCTACCTTAGGGTAGGGGTAAGGTGTGCGTACGCACTACCCTCTCCGGTCTCCACTAAGTGGGACTATACTAGGTTGTTGTTGTTGTTGTTGTTGGCATGTTAGTTGTTCCAATTGTTGTTTAAACGGCAGTTCGGATCAAGGGATCCGGTTCAAATTGCGACATTAGGGCGGCTAATCAAATTCAAATAAAGACAGCAGCAGCAAATGAATACATGATCAAGAGAGAAGCTTCAATTGAGAATATTCATGCTAACTTTGTTTGATTCATTCTGATTATTCAAGAGTAATTGACCATTTCAAATTCTGTAAGTACGACGCCAAACGAATCTCGTCGTTTTTTTTTTTTTTTTTTTTTTTTTTTTTTTTTTTTTTTTTTTTTTTTTTTTTTTATTTTTTTTTTTTGGTGTGCAGCTGTCTTTTACTTCATATTCATTCTGTCATAGTTTGCTTCATTGGTACATAGTTTGATGTTGCACTTAATGTAATAATTCCTAATTTGTCACTTGAGGACATCTTGTCCTCTTATACGCATCATTTTTCATAAAATGAAAATAATCTTTTTATGAAAAAGAGAGGGAAAAAATTTCCTCACCAGATCTAGAAGGGACTACCTGGCATTGATTGTGAGATCCCCGCTTATCCAGAAGAGGATAAAAGTGAAATTTGAAGTGATTTCTTATAAAATAAGAATGGCCTTCTTCCTAAGGTTTTTAAGATCTTCGGAAAGTCCAAAACATTTGAGAAGTTTTATTATATGCCTCACATAACTGACATTAGTTGTGTGAGACTACTTTTTGTCTCACAACTTTGTGGACCCCTTTTCCGAAACATTTCAGCTGTGACCTCTTACTACTGTGACATGTCTGGTCCCTTTGACAAACACCAGGTTTGTGTATAACTGTATATTAATATGATACGAATTTATTAAAAGAAAAGGATATCCATCACAGTTTCAAAGTTGGGAAAAAATAGATTTTGTGGTTATTAGAATAAAGTTCAAAATTCTTTGTATGCGATCTAATTCTGTGCATGCAATCTTATTGATACTTGTCAAAAGTAGATTGTTGGTCTTCACCAAAAATTCCCTCCTACTTTTCTTTTTCCTTTTTTTTTTTGTGGGTGGATTTGCAGTAAAGATTTTTTGATACAGGGTGCCATGATTTCGAGCAGCAACTTCATTCATAAGACTCACTATGAGATCCTAGGTGTGAAGGAAGATGCAGATTTTGAAGAAATCCGTAAAGCCTATCGGTCAGCCATACTTTGTTTTCATCCAGACAAGCAGCAAAAGCCATCAGAAATATCCAATTCTGAGTGTCTGACAGAGAATAAATTTTTGGATATACGGAGAGCTTGGGAAACCCTTGGCAACCCGAGGTCACGTGCACTTTATGACGGTGAATTGCTAGCTTTGAGGCAGGACATAGCAATTGCTGAAGATGTTAGCTTAGAGGACCTTACAGTTCAAGATTCTGGTGATGTTATAGAGCTTTCTTATCCTTGTAGATGTGGTGACTACTACTTTATTGATTCTTTAGAATTGGCTGACACGGGTTGTTCAATATCCATAGAAGGGTGTACAGTCTCTTTGCTGACATCTAAATCTTTGCCAGCATCTATTGTGCTTCCTTGTGGATCTTGCTCACTTAAAGTTCGCCTACTGATTAATGGCGATACTAGGCTTCACAGAGATGTTCACTTGTAATTGTGACTAGTTGGAAAATATTATTCTCTACAAAACTTTTGCAAAATTTTTGGAAATTGAAATGACAAGGGAAAATCTGAAATTTCTTGTGTTTTTTTTTTGGTTACTTGCGTGCCAACAAATTGGAAGGGCCAATACCTGAGTTTTTCCTGATTGAGAATGCTTACTTTTCTCTCACCCNAATCCCACCAGCCCATGCTAACAGGATAAAAAATTTAATCCCTGCAACTTCCTAGCTAGTTTAGGTTTAAGACTTCCTCTAGAGTGTACTAACAGAACAATCACCCTCACAAGAGTAGCAGTAGACATAGTGAATTTGTTGAAGACTCTACTATTTCTTTAATGCCATATATAGTAAATGCTTCCAGCCAGTGTCATCCTGAATGCTAGAGCAGTAACATCCATCCCTTTGCAATGTGTTACATTCTGCTTCCCAGTCTAGTGCTTGTTTTCTTATCCCTTGCCATTGGAGTAACCTTTCCCATATAGCTGCTGTAACATCACACTTAAGAATAGATGGGATATGCTGTCCTTGGCACTATTACACACGGGTCAGGTTTGGTCAGTAATGAGCCCCCATTGAAGCAGCTTGTCCTAAGTGTATAATCTTCCATGTGCTACCCGTCTTAATATAAATAACCACTTTGGAAATCCTTGATTAGTGCAAACCAATGTTATCAAAGGCGCGCTTAAGCTCTAAAGCGAGACTCAAAACACGTTGAGCGCTTCGCCTCGCTTAACAGGCGCTTCAGTATTTTCATCAAGGCGCTAAGACATTCTTTTCCTTGCTAATAAGCGTAATCCTGAAATGGCAGCACTAAACAATTGATATTTCACTTTATCATAAATTCTCTTCAATTTTTTGGTCCATATATTTGGTATTCATGCTTATAGATATTAGTCTTGGACTACACGTACATATTTGTAGTTTTATTCTATTTGCGCCTTTCTTCCTTAAAGCCCACGCTTTATTTGCACTTTGAGCTTAAAGCCCCAATAGATCTTAGAGCTTTTTTGCGCTTTTCGCCTTTGATAACACTGGTGCAAACTAGTCTTCTCCAGCTAACTTTTGGAAATACCCCTAACATCTTCGGGTACATTTTTTTGATAGAGAACTCACCCATGCTCTGCAATTCACTGAAAGTATAACCAGCATCAACAAGGTACTTTGCTTTGAAAATCTGCTGGACCATCCAGGATGCTTGCTTAGGGTTGGCCTCCCATATTATTCTTCCTTTTTCATGGTAAGCATGTAACCACTTACTCATAATTTCTCCTTCTTTCCGCATATATTCCATAACATCTTGCATATAGCTGCACTATTTTAATTGCAATGTTTAACAGCTAAAGCCCACCAGCAGACATAGGCAAGCACAGTTTATCCCATGCCAGTAATGCTTTTTTAGATATCTCTATGCCACCACAGTCCGCAGTTTATCCCATACCCTTTCTATTAGTAATGCAATCTTTTTTGGTAGAATGAACATTTGTGACCCAAACTTGAATGGAGAACAGTACACTCTTTAATAACTGAATGCTGCCAGCATTAGGATAGGACCTTAGCTGTCCAGGAATTCACTCTGTGCAATATTTTCTCAAGCAGGGGTTGACATTGAATAGGCGATAATCTCATAGTACTAAGTGGGACTCCTAAATACCTGATATGCAATTCACCTTTGACACCCCAGAACATCAATTATTTGCTGCTGAAACTTACCCCTCCAATGTAGTAAGTACACTTCTTGCTCAAGTTTGCTATCAAACCAGATGCTTGAGAAAACTTCTGGAAACAATCAAGCACTACCTTAACTGAATTGAGGTCACCCCTACAAAATAGCATCAAGTCATATGCAAATCCCAGCTCCACCACCTGAAGCATCACACTTTTTGGATGAAATTTGAATCCGTCTGCTTGTTTCAGATTCTTTAATAACCTGTTTAAATATTCCATAGCCAAGACAAACAAATAGGGAGACAATACAAAACCCTAGCCCCTACTATGCTCGAGCTGCTTCGTTGCTAGGTTGCCAATTCCATCTCCACAATCATGGCGGATGTTGAAGCCGATGTGACGGCAGGATAGCCAAAGAAAGAGGACGTTCAAGAAGTTCAGTTACAGAGGGGTCGATCTCGATGCTTTCCTTGACATGTCCACTGATGAGCTTGTTAAGCTCTTTAATCCTCGTCCCCACAGAAGGTTCGAGAGAGGTCTGAAGAGGAAGACAATGGCCTTGATCAAGAAGCTGCGCAAGGCAAGACGTGAGGCTCCACCAGGGAAGAAGCCAGAGCCTGTCAAGACTAATCTGACGAACATGATTATTGTTCCTGAGATGATTGGAAGTGTCGTTGGAATTTACAATGGAAAGACATTCAATCGGATTGAGGTCAAGCCTGAGATGATTGGCCACTATCTGGCTGAGTTCTCAACCTCATACAAGCCTGTCAAGCATGGGAGACCCGATATTGGTGCTACTCACTCATCAGGGTTCATTCCTCTGAAGTGCTGGGATATCAGGTTATTTAGTGCCTTATTTTACTAGAATTTTGGATGAAGGCCACATATTATGGAAGATTTAAGTTTTAAATAGCATTGCTCAGCCGATTTTTTTTTTTTATGCCATTGGTGTCTTGGACTTGTTCCTTTCAAATGCTCAATTTAGGAGAGGGCATGATGAATGATGCTCATAAGCCTTATTATGTTCAAGTTCTCTCCTGATTTCCTAGCACACTCAATTTTTGCCTGATTTCTTAACAGTTGAATGAATTATGGTTCCATGAGAACCTTTGCACTTTCAAAAAATAGAATAAAAAATAGGGTGGCAATGAGTCACCTTGCCTCAGTCCTCTCTTAGCCTCAAAAAGTTCAGACAACCTCCATTTATAACAATTGAGTATGAGACTGTCTTAACACAATTGAGTAATGTTACTTGAATCTTAACGTTACTTATACAGAAATGTGTTATTTACATTAGTTTCCTTACTTTCTCCTTAGGCATACCCAGTTATGAAGAGTGCCAACAGAAGTGTGATTGGAAATGCAACTCAAGATGAACAGGATAGTAGCTCAATGTCGTCATAAGTATGAGTTGATGACTCAAACAATCGTTATTAAATCCTCTTGTGAATAATACAAATCAGAGAGTGACACCTAAGCAAACAGAAAAGACCATTCTACCCTTTGTTGGATGTGAAATTTTTTCAAGAGAACATAAATTATAACGAAGGGGACACATGGGGATATTTGGTTTATGGCCTTTTAGTAGTAATGCTTATGGTTTTTTAATGCCTTGGGTTCCATCTTTTGCCTCTGGTCAAGCTATTTTATTTTTTTGGGAATTTCATTATGTTTTGTTCTGATATGATTTATATTTCACATTAGAAGGTGTTTGCTAATGTGATTTATATTTTACCAGCCATCTATTTCGTATTTCGTATTTTCTATTTCATATCCCTTATATTGCTGTTATTTATTATGCATTTTTATGGTACTAATATATCGGCTCCTATTACCTTTTTGAGCTGAGGGTCTCCTGGAAACAGTCTCTCTACCCTTCGGGGTAGGGGTAAGGTTTGTGTACATACTACCCTCCCCAGACCCCACTTGTGGGATTATACTGGATCGTTGTTGTTGTTGTATTAGAAGGTGTTTGCTAAGAAAGACAATATTGTCCCTGGAAAATTTCGTAAAAAAATGTTTCCCCAAAAAATGGTTTCCGGCATTTGGATGGTAAGTGGAGTATGTTGAAGATTGATAATAGTGTATTTGTATAGTATTTTCCGCTGAAAATTTTAATACATTTTTTTTTTGTGTTAAAATTTTGAAGTGTTATTGGGCTTTCTGATTTTAGATAAAATTGTGCTGCAATTATATACAATATAATAATTTGTAGTTTACTGGTTAAAATGTTGACCTTAATCACACCTCCCTGCATTGAGGCTCTAGGTGTGCACTGCCCGAGGTTGATGTCATTCTCGTTGTGTCACTTTGATGCTGTAGACTTTGAGACCGAGGAAGAGAAAAACGAGGATGTTCTTGCTATTGCAACCCACTTGCCTTTACTACGCCAACTTCAACTTATTGGCAATACTTTGACAACTCAGGGGCTTGAGGCGATTCTTGAGGGTTGTCCTAACTAGGGCTGTTCATACAGATCGGATATCCGAAATTCGAACCGATCCATTCAATTTCGGATTTCCGATTGGATCGGATTTCAGATTGTGTTTATTAAAATTTCGGACTTCGGATTGGTATATTTTAATCCGATCCGATCTGAAATCCGAAATTATTAGGTAATGTATAAATACTACACTTTAATTTCGGATAGTCAGTACTTCCTTTACATCTTCCTCCAAGTTATTACTTTTACAATTGCTAGATTTAGCTATATTGGCACTATAATACTCTCATAATTGCATAAACATAAATTTTTCTTAATGTATTGTCTTTTTTACAAAGAAAATATACATATTAGTTTGCAACTTTGAGGCATAATAATACGATCTGAAATCATATCCGATCCAAACTTTAAAATTCGATCCGATCTGATATAATTCGGACCGGATTCGGATTGCATTTTTTAGAATCCGAAATGAGCTAAATCTGATCCGATCCGACACNGGGGGGGGGGGGGGGGAGGCTGAATTGAGAAATTTTCTCCCACGTAGCGCTAAGGCTAGAGCTCACTTCTTCCTTACTAGACCGATTGCCATGAATGAATGAAGATGATTGACTTTAGCTACAGGGCTGGGGGAACAAATAGGCGTGGGGAAGAGTCGGCAACAAAATCACGCTTCGGGCTCAAGCTTAGATAGAAGAGTTCAATGAGTCCACTAGTCCATCAATGGAAATTCGATAGAAAGCTCAGCTCCAGTAAGAAAGTCCCTTACTTCGGCTAGTAAGGATTTTCATTTTAGGCAAGCAAGTTGCAGCGCGAGTACCCTTTTTTTTACTTTTGCTGCAATACTCTCATCCACTGGCTGCAAAGAAACAACTAGATTGGCTTTTCTAACTCTCTTTAAAAGAGACTGCTTTCACATTCACTTGCCCTAGAACCTGCTTTTTATTAATATTGATCTAGAATCAGCTATTCCTAGTTTTTTTTTTTATTATTCCTAGCGTACAAAATGTTAAGAAAGATTGGAAGTTGTTTAGTCGCTGCTCACGCAC